ACTGAGATCTTTAAAAGACAAAGTGAGACTTCCAAGGCTCTTAATGAGAATTTCAAGTACTGTAGTGAGAATATCAAAGATATGAAAAAGAACTAGTCAGGAATTAAGCATATACTAAGTGAAATAAAGGATAATTTATAGGGATCCAACAATAAAGTAGAGAGTACTGAGAATCAAATCAGTAATTTGGAATATGAGGAAGCAAAAAACACCCAATCAGAAGAGCAAAAAGAAAAAATAATCCAAAAATATGAAGATAGTGTAAGGAGTCTCTGACAACTTCAAGCATACCAACATTCACATTATGGGAGTTCCAGAAGGAGAAGAAAGAGTGCAAGATATTGAAAACCTATTTGAAGAAATAATTATAGAAAACTCTCCCTACCTGGTGAAAGAAATAGATTTATAAGTCCAGGAAGCTCAGAGAGTCCCAAATACGAGGAATCCAAAGAGGCCCACACCAAGACACATCATAATTAAAATGCCAAGAGTTAAAGACAAAAAGAGAATCTTAAAAGCAGCAAGAGAAAAGCAGTTAGTTATCTACAAGGGAGTGCCCATAATGCTATCAGCTAATTTCTTAACAAAAACACTTCACACCAGGAGAGATTGGCATGAAATATTCAATGTAATAAAATGCCAGTACCAACAACTGAAACTATTTTATTCAACAGGGCTATCATTTAAATTGAAAGTGAAATAAAGAACTTCCCAGACCAAAAAAATCTAAAGGAGTTTATTACCACCAAACCAGTATTGAAAGAAATGCTAAAGGGTTTGCTTTAAGAATAAATAAAGAGAGAGAGGGAGAGAGGAGGAGGAGAGCAACATAGATATAAATAATAAAATGTCAATTAATAAGTACCTACAAATAATAGTCTTAAATGTAAACAAATTATATGGTCTAATCAAAAGACATAGGGTAGCTAAATGGATAATAAAACATAACCCATATATATGCTGTCTACAAGAAACCCACCTCAGAACAAAAAGATATACACAGAATGAAAGTAAAGTGATGAAAAAATATTTCATGCAAATGGAAGCAAACAAAAAAGAACCTGGGGTAGCAATATTTATTCATTACAAAACAATAAACAAATCAATCCAACAAGAAGATATAACCTTTTCCCTTACCAGTGTGGCTCAGTTGATTGGAGTGTTGTCCTATACACCAAAGGTGGCAGATTCAATTCCTGGTCAGGGCACATACTCTGCTTGGGGGTTCAATATCCAGTTGGGGTGCATGTAGGGGGCAGCTTATTGATGTTTCTTTCTCACATCAATATCTATCTATCTATCTATCTATCTATCTATCTATCTATCTATCATCATCATCATTATCATCATCTCCCTTCCTCTCTTTAAAATCAATATTTTTTTAAAAAAAAGGATATAACCCTTGTAAATATCTATGTATCCAACATAGAAGCACCTAAATACAATATATAAAGAAAATCTTTTTTCCCCATGCCAATTATCAGTCTTTTTATTTTTTTTTATTTTTATTCTGGTGTTTTAGGGTTTTTTTAATCTTTATTGTTTAAAATATTATATACGTCTTCCTTTTCCCCCCATTAACCTCTTTCAGCACACTCCTGTCCTTACCCCCCTCCCAGGCCCTTACCATCCTATTGTAGGTGTCCACAGGTTATGCATATATACACACAAGTTCATTGGTCTCTTCCCACCCATCCTCCCCTGTCTTCCCTGTGAGGTTCAACAGTTTGTTCATGCTTCTATGGTGTTGGAAAAATTGGACAGGTTTATGCAAAAAAGGAAATCAGCTTACACCTTACACAAGAATAAAAATCCTAGAAGACAACATAAGAGGTAAAAACTCAGACATCTATCATAGCAATATTTTTGCTCATATTTCCTCAGGCAAGGGAAACAAAAGAAAAACTAAACAAATGAGACTAAATCAAACTAAAAAGCTTTTGCACAGTAAAGGAAACATCAACAAAGTGAAAATGGAATTACCAATGAAGGGGAGAACATATTTGCCAATCGTACATCTGATAAGGAATTTATCTCCAAAATACGTAAATAACTTATGCAATGCGACACCAGGAAGACAAACAACCCAATTAAAAAATGGGTGAAAGACCTGAATAGACACTTCTCCAAGGAGGACATACAGATGGCCAATAGACATATGAAAAAATGCTCAACATCACTAATCATTAGAGAGATACAAATTTAAAGGACAATGAGGTATCACCTCACACCTGCAAGAATGGCTATCATCAACAAATCAACAAACAACAAGTGCTAGTGATGATGTGGAGGGAAGGGAACACTAGTGCACTGCTGGTGGGAATACAGACTGATGCAGCTGCTGTGGAAAACAGTGTCAAGTTTCCTCAAAAAATTACATATGGAACTGCCATTTGACCCAGTGATCCCACTTCTGAGAATATATCCTACAAATCCTGAAATACCAATCAGAAAGAATATATGCACCCCTATGTCACAGCAGCATAATTTACAATAGCTAAGATCTGGAAACAGCCCAAGTGCCCATCAGCAGATGAGTGAATGAAAAACTGCTGTACATTTACACAATACTACTTGGCTGTAAAAATGAAGAAAATCTTACTCTTTGGGACAACATGGATGGAACTGGAGATTATTATACTGAGTAAAATAAGCCAGTCAGAGAAAGACAAATACATATGATCTCACTTATATATGGAATTTAATGAACAAAATAAATGACAAACAAAATAGAAACAGAGCCAAGGATACATGGAACAGACTGACTGCTATCAGAGGGTAGAACTGGATGAAAGAAAGTGAAGAGAGTAGCCAAAAAGCATATGCGTTAGACATAGACAGAGACAGCAGTAGGTGATAGACCGAGGGAAAAGGGTGGGGGCTAAGTAGAGGTGGGCAAAGAGATGGGGAATGGGGGTGAAAGAGACTTTGCATGGGGTCAATGGACACAGGATGCAGCAGGCAGCTGATGTTTCATTGAGTTGTACACTTGAAACTTGGATGGTTTTTTTAAACCAGTGTCATCCCAGTAAATCCAATTAATAAAATATTTTTTAAAGAAACTGACATAGAGCAGTTTTGAATACAGAGTTAGAGCAAGGAGTCAAGTTTGAGACCAAGGTAACAAAACCACAATAGCAGGTCTATGGCATTATTCTTACCACTGATGTCAATAGGCACTCCTTAGCCCCTCAGCCTCACTCCCAGGCCAGGTCTCTAGGTGATATCAGGATCACGAACCCTTTAGAAAATAGCAGAGTCAAGTTCACTCTTGTCATGACCCTGGATGACAGCATGAATATCAGTGGGGGAAAATATTTCATGTAGCAAAAAGAAAAAACATACTACCAAATAGTCACCCTTCCACCAAGATGCTCATTGAACTCAAGTTATTTCAAGGCACTGTGCTTGGTATTTCTTGATACATTATCTTAGTCTTCATAATGACCTAAAAAAAAAACCCCAAATTTATATTATTCTCTTGTGATATGTGTGGAAACCGAGTTTTAAAAGGGTTAAGAAACCTGTCTAAGGCTGCACAAACGAAGAAACAAAAACACAATAGTTCCATTCTAACAAAGGATGGAGAAAAGGGAAGTTTGGACCTTTATAAATATTAGAGGTGTTTTTAAGAAATCTATGAAGTTGTAATTTTACTTGTATCTCTTAAAAAAAAGTAAGGCAATTAAAAATGTTGAATTTTTTTTTTCAACTGAACACTAAAATACTGACTGGTCTGGAAAATAACAGCTTCAGAGAGAGATGCTGGTGCTGTGGGTCAGCAGCCTTGTTTACAAACTGTTTAGTGACTCATATCCTATAAACGTATCATATTGATCAAACCCTAATCAGTTAAAAAATTGTCATCTTCTAGGTTTGTCCAGTGCAATTATTTTAGAAAGTACCAGGTTTCCATTTTAATTGGTGCCTGGCTTATTTGTCTTTTAAGACACTTGGTTTGGTTTAAAAATTAAACTAAAACTAATATCTGGGCTTCGAGCTGGTTTCAGTAAATCTGTTCATTTTTTCCCCCTATATCTTAATGTGTTGTTGATGTAATTGCCTGACCAGGTCACAGAATAGGTGTTCCACATGTATGTACTAGAACACTCTCATATATTACAACCCATGCTCCATAGCCAGCGCAGAGTGAGAGCCATTTCGGAAGGAGCAATGGGCTCACAACTCTGGATGCAATTCGGGCACAAGGCCCCTGCTCACCCAGGCACACTGGATTTGGGCTGACTTTTAATAGAAAAACAACCAAAGAAGAGGGGGGATACAACATTCAACTCTCCTGCTATAGTCGGGAAGGCTGCCTATTCCCTGAAACTATAACTCCTCCGGTGCTACTCTTTCTTCCAGAATCTGAGAGTGGGCTTATCCCCCCCCCCCCCCCCCCCCCCGCAACCCGCACCTTCTTCCCCCCCCCCCCCCGCCCCCTCCCGCCCTCAAGCCCCATTTGGAAGAGAGAGGAATGCAGTCTGAGGACTAGAATGCCCTCTGCCTGCTCGGCACAGAAGCGTGCTGCTGGCATCCGCAGGCACACACAAATGATGTGCTCTTTCTATTTTAACGTATCCAGCAATTTAGTGGTTAATTAGCAACTGGCTGCCCACCAATATGCAAATGAATGACAAGCAAAGACCCTCTGCATCTGTAATTATTTTGCTGATTTACAAGCCACTTTTCTCTTTGTGTAGGTTTTCTGTGGTGTGCATTCATGCATCAGGGATTTCATTATTTTTAGAAGCATACTCAGTGCATTTTTATGCTTTAATATCTTCAGGCTTCAGTAATTACAGTAACACACACACCACACACACACACAAACACACACACAGTCTGTTTTCCTTGTGTGGAATTCTTTTTTTCTTTCCTTTTTATAAAGAGTGGAGAGTAAGATTTTTTTTTCAAGGGGCTGAAACCCAAATTGCAGAGAGGGTCAGAACGCAAGATTAAAAGATGTATGCTTCTTCCCCTGCCAAACCCTTATCTGGAATCAGAGGAGTCTTGTAATATTTGATTTTTTCCCCCCAAGCAGCTCTGGTGAGTGGAGCCACGACCAGCGTTATCCATCTGCCTACTTTGGAGCAGGCTGTTTTACTATTTAGAGGCGGAAACGCTCTACGTTTTTGCCAGCCCATTAAGAAAGGCTCTCATGTTAAATTAAGTCAATTAATAAATGAGACACATTAAGCAATCAATTTTGTCAGCCGATCCCCCCAGCATTATGTATGGCTGGCTGTAATCACAAGATAAATGCAATGTGCTGATCTATGGTAATGTTCAATAATACATTCTCCGCCAGGCTCGATTCATCGGGGAGTTCCAGTCGGGGAGGCATTTGTTATTGGCTGTCTCCGCACCTCAAGGATAACACTTCTGTCCTTGTGATTGGCCGCCTCGCTGCGGCAGGATTCTAACCATCTTGTTCGGATGATGAATATGAAGGCTCGCTGAGCCGGTCTGGAGCGGAGTGTCTGTCTCGGCGGCTGCGCTCCTTCCAGAGCCCAAGGACCCGCAGCGGCGGCGCTGCCTCCCCGCGCCAGCGACCCCCCAAAAGTTGGGATGCTCTTCTTCACCCAGTGCTTTGGGGCCGTGTTAGATCTCATTCACCTGCGCTTTCAGCACTACAAGGCGAAGCGGGTGTTCTCCGCCGCGGGCCAACTTGTCTGCGTCGTCAACCCCACGCACAACCTGAAGGTGAGCTGCTCTCCGCGGTTTGATGATCACCCGCTGGGGTTCGAGTCCCCTCCCGCGCATGCACGGAGCTCCGGGCCCAGGCCGGTTTGCCGGCGCCAGGACGGTGCTTGGAACTCAGCGCTCACCCTGGCTCTCTGCGTGGCTGGGTGCCTTCCCGGCGGTTTGCTTCCCCCGCTGACTGGCCAGGGCAGCTGGAGTGAAGGCCTAGTTTCTTTCCCCCGTGCGTCAGCCCAAGAGTTTGACGGGGGTCAGAAGTGGAGGTGGCGGAGGGATTAGGGGGCGTCCCCCCCCCCCCCCCCCCTTTCAGTTGTTTGTAGACAAATGTTCAGTAGACAGGGCTGGAAAGTTACCCAAATTGCAGCCTGTCCCATGTGTTGGCAAAAGCAGGCAAGAGCATGCATTTTGGAAGCCCCCTTGGGCTGCCACTGAAGTAACGGGGCCTGGGGGTCGCCAACGGGGGCTCTATTTTCCTTGTGCTCAGAGTGAGTGAGAATGGGCATATGTGTGTGTGTGTGTGTGTGTGTGTGTGAGAGAGAGAGAGAGAGAGAGAGAGAGAGAGAGAGAGAGAGAGAGAGAGAGAGTCAGGAGTTTGCATTTTGCTTCCTGTGAGCTAGATACGCCACCACCACCACTACCCGCCCCCCGCCCTTTTGCACCGGGGACTGGGATAGGAGGAGGCAGGCTTGCTTCAGCTTCACAGTAATGAGACCGGCTCCGAGCCGCTGTCTGAGTCACCGCAGCTGCGGGTGCCTTGCTGCCTGCGGCCGCCCGGCTACTTGCCTGGCGCCGCTGCCTCTGCATCTGTGCCTCCAGGTCAATGCTCTTTAGAAGAACAGCCAAAATATGGGATCCTGGAGGACCGCACCACATCCCGGCCGAGAGTGATGGACAAATGAATCAAGAGCCACTAGCTAGGAATACGGGAGCGCAGGGCAGTAGTGGAGGGGTGGGGGGTGGGGGTAGCTGAACTCCCGAAATATGAAACAGCCATCATACCTGTGTGCTAAAATAAATGTGAGCTCACTGGGAGTTGCTTGCCTGTCCTCTCTATGCCCAGGGCTGAGAGACAGGGGAGAGGGGCACATCTGTAGGAAGAATGTGCTGGAATAATCGCTATGGGGTAGATCTGTTATTCTCGCCACTGACTGATCTTGGGCAGAAAGGGAGTTGCTTGTTGCTCATCACTTTGTAAACTCCTGGAAAGAGTTAGACTCTCTGGGTAGGATCACTGCAAGTCAACGCTGGGGGTGCCTCCAACACTCGCCCCCCAATTTCTGCAAGTCCCCAGCTGGGACAGCTGCCCGGAGCCTCTGGGGCCATTGTCAGGCCGCTCTTGGGTGGAGGGGGATGGGTTGCTCTGGCCTCTATGATGAACTGGTGTTTTGGGGTACCCAAGCTGTGACCATCTGACACAACCTCTCCCTCTCCTGTCCCCCTGCTCTCTCTTGCTTTCTCTCTCTTTCTCCTCATTTCACTATTTCTTTTATGGCTTAGTTTTATAAATGAGAATTCACCATTAGTCATACTTGACAAAGCAAGTGTATGGTGTACATATTAACATGTGATTCTGAATTCCATTTCATGGCCACTTTGGAGACCACATTCAAACTCCCATTATTTTGTCACTTTACATTAGTTAGTTCCCTGTGGAACTAACATTTTAAACATTTTGTTTACTCCTGTTTTGCATTTCAATATATTTAAAAATTGTTTATGAGATTTAGCATTCCCAAAGTTTGGATTCCTATGGCTCATTGACTACTGCTGATGGTGAAGGGGCAGAGGGGTGCTCAGGTCTTGGTGTGGGGTGGGTGCAGTGCATTTTGTGTACTTTTTGGTGATGTATGCCTGGATATTGACAAGCAATTCTGCTGCCTGAGTCCAGGAGTCCAGAGTCAGGTTGGAGGTCATGGTCAGCTCTGATGAGCTGTGTGACCTCAAGCCTCAACCCCTCTGAGCCTTTCAAAATGAACATACAAATGCCTATCTGCCTCCTCCATGGCTCTGTGAGGCTGAAAGGAGATACTAGAGCTGGATGTGCTTTATAACACTCTCCTTCAAAAAAAAAATATGTTATTGCACATACTGTGTAGGGATTTATTAGGACCTTCAAAAGTTGTCACTTAAAGCCTTTGGCCAACTTAGAAACGCTATAAGCAGTAACATAAAGACTGGTGATGTATGCTTTTAGAGGCTATTTTCCATGGCTCACTTTTTCAAATACATTCTCGTTTGGCTTTCCACTTTCCATAAAAACTACGTAAGAGGTTGGCTCCGATGAGCTTCACTGCAGGTAGCAAAGCAAGTTGAGTGCCGCGCATGCAACCAGAAGGTTGCAGAGCAAATGCGATGCACAGAGGCTGTGCCGGGCTGGGGCACCGCTGCAGCCCAGGCTGCCCCCGCGGAGATGCAGGTGACACCTTGTGCTCCCCCACCAGCCAGGTGGTGCACCAGGTAAATCCTGCCTGCTTCTCAACCATGAGGGCTGACAGTCATTTGCAGAGCTTTTAAAGGACCAGTTCCACAGAAGCATTGCTGCTGCCATCACTTACATTAAAAAACACATAAAACCTCAAAAGCAAAGTGCTCCTTGTAAGCATCATTTCCATAGACAGACCACAGAAATATGCCTAGGATATAATAAGCTGTGATCCATATGGGGGAAAATTCTTTCAAAGAAAAAAAAGCTGTGGCAATGTTCACCCAGAATAGCTATTGATCCGCGGTGCTCCCCACACTCTGCAGGACGCTGGCACCTGGTGGGTGAGTAAGGACACAGACTGCAACCTTACTTTCAGTGTTCTCGGTGGCACACAGCTACCTGAGAGGGCTGAGGGGACTGTTTTTTTTTTTGCCTTGTTTTTTTTTTTTTTTTTTTGTGGAAACATGTTTGCACTTCCTCCTTTCCCTGGGATTTCCTGATGATGCCCACAGTATTGTAGGATCTGAGGCAAGTGCTGAGTTATAGTAAAAATTCCCTTTCTGAGCAGAGGAAAATGTGCTTGTATAGGTCACCTTCATTCCCAATCTTATTATGGCGACTACTTAGTTACCTGGGATTCCTTCAAAGCTGGTATCTTTCCGTCTAAATGGAAGGCAGAAGACTTCCCAGGAATGCAGACACCCTAGTTGAAGTCATGAAGCCCCTTCATCCCACCCTAATGAAAAGAGATGTGTAATGTAGCTGATCTAGAATGAGGGGCCTCTGCTTTAAGCAAGTCCCAGGCAGGGGGAGGATCTATAGCAGAGCTGCCTGTCTGTCTGTCTGTCTGTCTGTCTCTGCCTGTAGGGAGGGCTTCTTGCACAGACGATGCCCCCACTTCCTACGCTATGAAAGTGACCAATGCCAAGAGCCAGTGTTCTTGGCTGGTGGCCCTCTGCTTCTTCACTCCCAGAGGTTACTGAAGTGCAGCCTGTGGGCCGGGCTGGCACCAGTGCGGCCTCTGACTCAGTCTGGATTCATCACTCCTTTCTCCCTCATGTCTTTTTCTTGTTTCCAAATCCAAAGTGCCTTTCTCTCCTAGCTCCTCTCCGGTCCGCCCTAGCTGCTTCTATAAAGCCTGCCCTGGGCTGCCCTCCCTCTTCCTCCCCATCTCCGGGGGTGCCCTTGGAGGGGTGGACTGGACACAGGCTTCCCGAGTTCCTGAACCCAGGCTTCTCCGGGGAAGGATCTGTAGTGGTGGCACAGCCCCTCGGGGGTGAGTCCACAGCCCTTCCCAAGCAGATAGTAGCTGAGCCGGGGCCGACTGGGCGACTTCCTCCGCTTTACCACAGCCCCCGAGAAACCAGCTCCTGAAAGAAGACCGTAAGATGCTTTCTGAAAAACAAAGCAAGAGGCCCTTGTTAGGGTCAGCATCATTGCTGAGACATCCACGCCCCCCACCACCCCGCCCCGTGGCCTCCCCAGCATCCAGATGTGAGGGCTTAACCTCCCCACCTCTACTGGGAGGCTATTCATGCCTCTATTCAGCTTCCCCAGCGCCCTTCTCTATTGTAATGTTAACCTTGGGGTTACCCACAGGCACACACATGGTGGGAGGGACATATGGGACAATAATGACTCTAAGTTCCTGACAGATACTAAATAGAAAATTAGGGCATTTTCAGTACCATTACTTGAAGCAATCACATGCCTTTCATTCTAAGACCAACCTATGTGGATGAAAAGGGTGTGGGAGGGAGGCTGAGGGGTACATGGAAAAGGAGGAGGATCATCAAAGGAGGGAGACAAGAAAAAAAGTGTGGCCAAGCCAAACATTGCCCCTACATTTATGGAAAAACCTCATGGGCCTGGGGCTTCCACTAACTCTGCCTGATACCGCACAGCAGGCAGCCAAGTGAGCACTGAAGACCTGGGTGTTGTTTTTAGAAATTTAGAGGCGGCCTTTGGAGTGTTCAGCCTGAATGTCTTATTCAGGCAGTTAAAGGCCCCGACAAGATTGTTTAATCCTGTAGTTGCTCTGTTCTCATTGACACAGTCGCCTCTGAGGGCCCCCTCCTGAGTTCTCTAGAAATAATACCACCTCCTTCTGCGGTCCAGGCTGGAGCCTCCGCACAGCTCATTAGCGCCTTCCAGGGCAGGAAGGATGGGGGAGAGGCTGGAGCTAGCAGTGCTCACTCCAGGAGCTTAGCTCTAAGGCTTCCCCTGCAGCCCCTCCTAGCCCTTTGGTTTCTGTGAATATTGTATGATTCTCTCCTCTGTGGGCACAGAGCAGTCATGGGAATTTTCCGATTAATAGTAATTGCAAATGAGACTCTTGAGTCACATAACTGGTTGCCCTGAGTCCCGTGCAGTCATTTGGTGAACTGCTAGTAATGGAGTTGCAGAGAAGGCTGAAGCTGGCACTAAGATGAGGTAAGTCGATTACCTCTGTACCACATTTACCCAGCAGCCCAAAAGCAAAATATCTTTTAAATCAAATTCATTGGGCTGACATTGGTCAGCATGAGCATAAAGGTTTCAGGTATAGGTTTTTATATTACAAGATCTGTATATTGTA